TTAGTTCTTTTTATGTTAGATAATATGAGGAAATGTGGTGGCATTTCACTTGTATTTAAATAAATAAAGCTTGACTGGAGATCAGAGAGTAAAACAGCCCCACTGGTCAGCCTTACTACCAGGCAGTGGTAACATACTCCTCTAATCCCAGTGGCCACACTAGTTGCCATAGAAACTGAGCGGTGCATGCCTTTAATCTCTGTGGTGAATGCCTTTAATGCCATAACTAAAGAGGAATATAAAATGGGGGAGACAGCTCTGAGGCTCAGTCTCATTCTGAGATTCCCGGAGGCAGGATCACCATTTTGGACTGAGGTGGAGGTAAAAGCCAATGGCTAGCTGCTTTGTTTTTCGGACTTTCAGGTTGAACCCCAAATTCTATGAGTTTTTATTAATCATGCTCACAAACCGTTATGTAACAAGAGGGGGCCTGTTTGTTGGGGGTTTTCGGTCCTGCCCGGCCCCCCAGCTGTTTAGTCCCAGAGAAAAACCACACTGAGATCTCTATAAGTTATAATGCTGATTGGCCCATTAGGTCAGGCTTCTTACTGGCTCTCACATCTTGATTAACCCATTTTTCTGATCTATGTTAGCCATGTGGCACAGTACCTTTTTCAGTGGGGCAGCTCACATCCTGCTGCTTCGGTGATCTGGGCAGGAGTGGGGGGAATCAACTTCCTCTTCCCCAGAAGTTTCCTGCTCTCCTTGCATCATTTCCACTTCCTGTCTGTAGACCAGGCTATCTTTGAACTCCCAGAGATCCGTCTGTCTCTGCCTCCCAGGCTACTCGTTCTTTCTTTTTTTTTTTTTTTTACTCTGAGAAGTTAACCTTTAGCCTCTTTAGCCTGTATATATTTTTAACACAATGTAAACCATTTAGAGGTTTTCTTACTCTTTGAATCTCTCTTTACTGTATATCTCTCTTTTTCTGACCACGTGGGTCTTTAATTTGCTAAGGAATATGGAGAAAACAACAGTCAAAAGCTCTTAAGGCGTTTCAAGGTCCTTGCCAGGAAGCAAGCTGCAACAGTGTTTCCATAGTCTGGACTGCCTGCTTGAAAGAGTCAGAGTTTTCCCTGGCAGGATGGCCCAGAAAGCCAGCATTTTAAAACAGTGCAGCTTTTTTCCTGCTACGGCTGAAAACTGAAATGCTTTACTCTAATCTTTCCCAAGCGTTCCCAGGCTTTCTGTGGATTCAGTTATCCACGTTGGGCGCCATTCTGTAACATGATGAAGGCCGGGCCTGCTTGTTTGTGTTTTTGTCTTGCCCAGTTTCCCCAGCTGTTTAGTCCCAGAGAAAATCACCCACACAGAGGACTCTATAAGTTATAATGCTGATTGGCCCATTAGGTTAGGCTACTCCCTTATCCAAACTGACCAAAATGCAGAGAGAGAACATTCAAATTAACAAAATGAAAAGAGGACATAATAATAGACACTAAGGAAAGAAAAATCATACTTCAAAAACCTGTACTCCATAAAACTGAAAAATCTAAAAGAAATAGATACTTTTCTTGATAGGTACCACATACCAAAACTAAATCAAGATCAGATAAACAACTTAAATAGACCTATAACCCCTAAGGTAATAGAAGCAGTCATTAAATGTCTCCCAACCAAACAAAACAAAACAAAAAACCAAAAAACAAACCAAAAAAAAAAAAAAAAAAAACCACCCCAGGGCCTGATGGTTTCAGTGCAAAATTCTACCAGAATTTCAAAGAAAAGTTAATATCTCTGCTCCTCAAAGTGTTCCACACAACATAAACAGAAGGAACATTGCCAAATTCTTTTTTATGAGGTTACAGTTACTGATACCCAAATCACACAAATGCAACAAAGAAAGAGAATTACAAATCAATCTCCCTCATGAACATTGATGCAAACATACTCAATAAAATACTGGCAAACCAAATCCAAGAACATATTAAATTAAAAAAAAATATCATCTACCATGATCAAGTAGGCTTCACCCCAGAGATGCACGGATGGTTCAACATACAAAAATCTGTCAATGTAATCCACCATATAAACAATCTGAAAGAAAAAAAAAACACATGATGATCTCCTTAGATGCTGAAAATGCCTTTGACAAAATGCAACACCTCATCATGATAAAGGTCTTGGAGAGATCAGGGATACAGGGAGCATATCTTAACATAATAAAAACAATATACAGCAAGCCAACAGCCAACACCAAATAAAATGGAGAGAAACTCAAAGTGATCCCACTAAAATTAGGAACAATACAAGGCTGTCCACTCTCTCCATATCTATTCAATATAGTGTTCAAAGTTCTAACTAGATCAATAAGACAACAAAAGGAAATCAGGGGATATAAACTGAAAAGAAAGAGTTAAACTTTCACTATTTGCAGATGATATGATAGTATATATAAGTGACCCCGAAAATTCTAGCAGGGAACAATTTCTAAAGCTGATAAACACCTTCAGTAATGTGGTGAGATACAAGATTAACTGAAAAAATAAATCAATAGCCGTCCTATATACAAATGACAAATGGCCTGAGAAAGAAATCAGAGTAACAAAACCCTTTACAATAGCCACAAATAATATATACACAAGAAACTAGACAACAAAACACCAAATATTCCAATTTAAAAATAGGGTACGAATCTAAACAGAATTCCCACCAAAGAATATCAAATGGCTGAAATACACTTATAGAGCTGTTCAAAATCCTTAGTCATCAGGAAAATGCAAATCAAAGTGACTGAGATTCCATCTTACAATTGTCAGAATGGTTAAGATCAAAAACACTGATGACAGCTTATGTTGAAGAGGATGTGGGGTAAAGGGAACACTTCTCCACTGTTTGTCTGAGTACAAACTGGCACAGCCACTTTGAAAATCTACATGGCAGTTTCTCAGAATAATGGAAATCAATCTACCTTAAGACCCAGCAATACAAATCTTGGGCATATACGCAAAGGATGCACACTCATACCACAAGGACACTTGCTCAACTATGTTCACAGCAGCAATATTCATAATAGCCAGAACATGGAAACGACCTAGATGTCTCTCAACCAAAGAATGGATAAGGAAAACATGATACATTTACACAATGGAGCATTACTCAGCTGTAAAAAACAATGACCTCATGAAATTTGCAGGCAAAAAGATGGAACTAGAAAAAAAATTATTCTGAGTGAAGTAACACAGACCCAGAAAGACAACCATCATGTGTACTCACTCCTAAGTGGCTACTAGGAATAAAGTACAGATAACCAGCCTACAGTTCATAGCCCCAGAGCCTAGAGAACAAAGAGGACCAAAGATGGATGCATGGATTCCCAGAGAAGGGAAAAAGAGATCTCCTGGGGAAACTGGAGATGAGGTGGGAGGATGGGAACTTGAGGGAGTGGGTTGGTGGGTTGGGCAAGTTGGGGGCTGGAGGGAGGTTGAAGGTGGGATGGAGAGGGAGAGTAAGGAAAGAGATATCTTGATAGGGGGCATTTCAGGGTTAGGGGGAAACCTGGTGTCAAGGAAACTCCTAGGAATCCATAAGATGACCCCAATTAAGACTCCTAGCAATAGTGAAGAGGGTGCCTGGTCTGGCCATCTACTGTAACCAGACTGGTGACTACCCTAATTACCATCAGAGAGTCTTTTACCCAGTAACTGTTAGAAGCAGATGCAGAGATCCACAGTCAACACTGGGTGGAGCTCCGAGAGTCCTGAAGAAAGGGAGGAGGGGTTGTATGAGCCAGGAGGTCAAGATCATGATGGAGGAACACACAGAGACAGCTGACCTGAGCGAGTGGGAAGTCACAGACTCTGGACCAACAGCTAGGGAATTTGTATGGGACTGACCTAGGCCCTCTGCATATGTGTGAGGGTTGTGTAGTTTGGTCTGTTTGTAAGGCTCCTGGCAGTGAGATCAGGACCTGGCCCTGGCGTTCAGCTGCCTTTTGGGAACCTGTTCCCATGCTGGATTACCTTGATGTGCCAGGCTTTGTTCAAGTCCATGGGAGGCCTGCCCCTTTCTGGACAGGGGAGGAGTGGATACAGAGGGAGGGTAGATGGGAGTAGGGAGAGCTTACAGTAGAAGAGGAGGGAGGGGGAACTGTGGTCAGTATATAAAATAAATGAAAAAAGTTAATTAAATAAATACAATTTAAAAAATTAAAAAACAAAACAACAACAAAAAACAGGGCCACAAACAGGCCCAATGATTCAGGAAACCTACCCACCATAGAACTTCAGAAAAGAACCAACCCTCATCACATACTCACAGGAAATCTGGCTTCTCTTTCATCCTATGGTTTATAAAAAACAAAACAACAACAAAAAGCAGTTTCTGGCCTTCTCCCCGCTTACTGTCCTGCACAAACCCTTCTGCTGTACCCCCAGATACTGAGTCACAGGGACTGGGGCACCAACCTCTCACACTAGCAAAGGTTGCTCTGCTATTCTGAGGTCGAACTGAGTCTATTCTTTCACATCCCCAGGAGTAAATGTCTTACAAGACACGCTGTGCCACAGCGACCTACACAACAGGAAAGGTAAAGCTTATGTTTTGTTTGTGTTTTGAGACAGGGTCCCATTGTCTCCCAGAACTGTAGCCTGGAACTCGCTCTGTAAACCAGGCTGGCTTTGAACTCACAGAGATCCACCTGCCTCTGCCGCACAAGAAAAGCTTACTTTTGATGCGCCACTTTCTAGTCAAGTTCCAGTATGAAAGGAAACAGAGGGCTCAGGAGATGATTCGGTGGGTAAAGGTGTTTGCAGCCAAGACTAATAATTCAGACTTAATAAGAAGAGTCTGCGCAGTGGAAAGAGAGACCAACTCCCAGCTCGCACAAGGTGGCCTCTGACTCCCGTATGCACATTGTGGAATGTATGTGCACACACACACAAAATCAGAAAGGAAGGAAAGAGAAAAAGAAAGGAGAGCGAGTGAGAGGAAGAGAGGGTAGAGGAGCAGAGAGAGGGGAGTCCCCAGGAGAGCCCACCAGCCCTACCCACTTCCTTTACCTGCACTGACGCTTGCGGAAAGGTCGTTCATCACCCGCCACAGCTCCTGCCTGTGCTCCAGCCGACACATCAGCTCAGATTTGGGAACAGGATACCCTTCAAGGAGAGAAATACGAACACATGGATTTTTTTTTTCCTGAAAAGAGATAAAGACCATCAATATCATCTGGGATTTCAGGACCAGAATTTGACCTTGGAATGAAGCTGCTCTCAGCATTATCAATAAAGTTAACATGTGACTTAGAAACTTATATTTAAAAGAGTTTGTCAAAAACTGTAAAAGGTGTGCCTGGTGGGACAAGACTATAATCCAGCTACTGGAGAGGCTGAGGCAGGAAGACAGCAAGGCCAAGCCTGCCTGGGCAACTGTGATGAAACCTTGTTTTAAAACAAAACGGAGGGCTAGGGACACAACTCAGTGGCAGAGAGCTTGCCTAGACTGTGCAGAGACACCCCTTGCACTGAGAAAGAAAACCAAGTATTTTTATTTTTATATTTTACATTTTTATATTTTATTTATATTTATATATATATATTATATTTATATTTTATTTTATATTTTAGTTTTTGCCAATTTGACACAAACCTAGACATATTTGGGAAGAGGAACCTCCAAGGAGAAAAATACCTCCAGCAGGTTCGTCTGTAGGCAAGCCAGTGGGGCATTTTTATACTAGTGAAGATGTGGGCGGGTCCAGCCCACATGAATGGTGCCACCGAGTAGGTAGGTGTTGCTGGGTTCTCTACAGGAGAACAAGCCAGTAAGCAGCACGCCTCCATGGCTTGTGCTTCAGCTCCTGCCTCCAGGATCCTGCCCTGTTTGAGTCCTGTCCCGATAGTCTTCAATGATGGACTATGGTGTGGAAATGAAAGACAAACAAACCCTTCCCTCCCCAACTTGCTTTTGGTCATGGTGTTCCATCGCACAGAATTCAGGAAGCAGAGACAGATGGCTCTCTGAGTTCAAGGCCTGCCTGATGTAGTGACCCTGTCTAAAAATAAACAAAACGCATCCCCAAATAAATATAAATAGGGCAGCTAAAGGTGCTTGCCGCCAAGCCTTAACCTGACCTCCAAGATCTATGTGGTGGGGAGAAGTGAGTCCTACAAGTCATCTTCTGAGTTCCATGGGTCACAGCACAAGTGTGCACACACACACATACACAGCACAAGTGTGCAC